GACAAAAGAATGGAAGGAAATAACGAGTGGCTCTTGCAAAAGTGTATTTGAGTGCCCTCGACTATGGACGAGAATCAAATGCGTGGCGCATTGCGATGGGTGAAACAACTCACTCCTTGCTGTAACCTTTACCAAGGGCCGTGGGAGGTCTTGCAAACTACGCTCAGACAATTTTCTAGCATATTTGAAAAAAAATCCTCCAGGTGCCATTTAACAACACACATTCCCTCACAAGAGAACAGTTTAACCAGGAAAGAACAGTGTGCCCATACCAGAACTTGAACACAAGGGATGAGAGTGCAAAACGCCAACCCAAAAACACTGATGTATTCTCTTGATAAAAAGTAACCTCTGGAACTGGCAGGTGATGTCGAACAAAGAATAACTCGTTTGGAGTGCGAAAATGATCCACAATTCAGTTCTGCAGGGGTTTCAGCGTTGAAGGGTTGCTGTTGGTTCACAACTAAAGCAGGATGTCGTTCAGGATCCTTCGAAAACGGATTGGATGCGTCTACCTAAGATGGAAAATCACAGAAGTAATCGAAACAAAAGACATTCACATTTCGAAGAAACACTTGCGTGGTGTGCAGGCACAGGAAATTTTAACCCGCTAGGGAAACAAAGCAAGGGAAAAAACAGTAGGTCATAGGGAGTGACATAATCTGAAATCCGGAACTAACTGTTTTGGTAGCTTCCACATCCTTCGGATCGAGATTTCCAATACGATATTCTTCCAAGATCTCCATCACCTTGAACAAATGAACTTCGATTTTTGTACTTTTTGATTGGCAGACGTAAAATCACCTCTGCCGTTTTGTGCTGGGCATAGAGAGACCAGTAGGGGTCAACAGCACCACCAGCAGCTAATAAAATTTTATCGCCACCAGGATGTAGCTTGTGGAACTCGGTGATGTCATACACTCCCTAAATGCTCAACAGTATGCAGTAAATACAATGAGAATCTATTTTAGCATCTTTCACTATGTACACTCCAATCCTTAAGGCACACCCCACGACCAGTTTTGTGGAGAAATTCCTCTAGTGGATGCAGTTGCTGGGTCCGTTACTGCAAAAATCGTCAAGTTCACTGCCTCGGAACGCGTCACTAAAACCGTGGGAGCTTGGCACCAGAGTCAGCCGTCACATCGTGCTGATTTCGGAAAATTTACGATCCTTCTTCACTGACTAGCTAGCGATACGACCCAAGCCCTCCTCCCCCTTCTCCCCCTGCCATCCTCAGCAACAGAAAGGCATTTCAAGAACCTGGAGAGCGCCCATCAATATATTCGCGTCCGTTGCGTGTTTTGCAATCCTCCTTGGGTCAATTTGGTAGAGCTTCTGGTCTATTCACAGGATTTCATTTTAATAGACTTTTTTGCTCTCCTATATTTCCAGTGTTTAATGCTGCCTCCATGCCTAACTGTTGTCATCGTTTTTTCCACACATCGTACTGATTTTGGCAGCGGCCAGATTCTTATGAGCGTAAAAATAAATAAAATAATTTCTTTACATGAACATAATTGAACCTTCCAACGCCGATTCTTTTCAAAAGAGGTTCCGTTAACCTCAATGAGTGTCATAACACTGACTAATTTTAGCTTCATGAAAAGTTCCGAACCTGATCAGCAAGCCATCGACCCACAAAAAATGCTTTTTCAAAATTTTCTTTCAAGTCGCGTGAGGTCAGTTCACCCAATTCGCCTTTCTTCATTTTTGGTAGTATTATTCAAAAAACATCGTTTTTGAGCGCGTCAACAATCATATTATATGCCGTTTACTTGACGAGTGAACTTTTTGCTCCGAATAGTCGGCCACGAACTCTCGTTTGGGTAAAAGGCGCTACAGCAGTTGAAAAAATATTTCCCTCACCTATGGATTGGGTGGTAAATCATTCTAATCGTAATCGCGTACCACTGCAGGCGAGATTCCTGCGCATCTCTCCCCACTCCGCCGGGGTTGGTCAAATACGACCCTTTATCTCTGCACTGTTCTCTCTACTTACAAATTGGATCCTCCGTACCCCCATGATCTATGCAAGCCATCAGGCGGTACCTCACCTGTGTGGTAACACTGATGCGCCCTTCCTTCTTTCCATTCTTTTTCTCTTCCCTCGGCGCCCATCATTTTTATCTCGCTGCCTGTCTCTCAGAATCCTCCAGGGCGATGAAGAAGAAGGCTAGTATATACCCCTCATTTTTGAGGGTTTATCTTTTGGTGTCCACCTCGCATGGCTGTCTCCGTATCGGAGGGAATTCCATTACGACCCAAGGTGTGAATTTGATCCTATAGGTCCTCCTTTGAGGTGATACATGTTCAGCCAGCATAGTATGGTGAGACCATCGGCTACACATAACACCACGGCTCATGAAGAGTTTCTCGGGTAAGACGATGTCGAAATAAAGGAGACGATTTCACCAAGTGGAGAAGAACAGTGGGACACCCTAAAGCTCGGCACACAGACTCGCGTCGGAAGATCTCCCACGTCTCACATGACTCCCTTGTCGCAACTGGCGCACCAAACGCCCACCGACTGATCTAATCACCTCGCAGCAGCGTTTATACACGCGAGTGGATCAGACTACGCATGGAGGACCGTAGTTGAATACTGCACAACGATGAGTGTCCGTACAGTGCGCTTCAACATGGTTCCTTTTTCATTTAGCTCCTTAGTTACTCTACACCTATTTCCAATGAAGCTCATTTTTATCGCAAATTCTGCCGCCTCCCA